GAAAACACACAGAAAAAAGGTAGACACAGAGAAGAAAGGGAAGCTAAAAAAAGGGGTTTTTGTGGGTTAGAATAGCTGTAGGAATCGTGGGGAATTTTTGGAGAATTTTTTTTTATGATTTTTTTGTGTGGAAATTTTTGGAAAATTTTCAGATTTCAGTTGAATTTTTCGGCTAAGGTTGAATTTTTCAGTGACTTTTCCAGCCAAATTTGAACTTTTCGGCCAGCTGTCCAGTTTTCGGCAAGGATTTCTAGAAGCCAACTCGCATTTTCGAGCCAAGCCTTCAAGCCGAGTCGTTCCCAAGTTTTTTTTTTCTTTTTCGTTTTATTTATTTATTTATTTATTATTATTATTATTAGATTAGAATTGTTTAATATTTTTATTTTTATTTATTTTTTACTTTCATTTTCATTTTTATTGTATTTTATTTTATTATTTTCTTTTCTTTAGATAAGCTTTCTAAAAAAAAATATTTTTGGGAAAAAGTTGAATGTATCAATTTTCCTTAAAAATAAATTTTCAAAAAAGATTTTTTTTGAGGAAAAGTTAAAAGTATCAATTTTCCTTAAAAATAAATTTTCAAAAAAAGGTTTTTTTTTTGAGGAAAAGTTGAAAGTATCAATTTTCCCTGTACAAAAGCAATCATTTTTTTCTTCCTTTTTATTTTCTTGAATTTTCTTTAATGTTAAATAATCCAATGACGGAGCTTCTGCAAGTGAAATAGTAGTTTTCTTGCATACTCTTGAGATGAAGGAATTTTCTCAATTTTTTGCTAAAAGTATTTGAGTCAATTGAGAATAATTTCTAATAATTAATTACTTGGTAAATTTTTAAGGCTTATTGGATAACACAAAATTAGGCTGGTACCATCTTTCGATAGGCGTTATGAGGGTGCTATAACCTTCCTCACACGTAACCGAACTCCCAAACCCTGTTCTAGTTAGTAAACCTAAACCTATTCTTTTAAGGGCCCTTAAACTTAGGTGTTCCCTGAAAGGATAGATTCTTTAGGTGGCCAATCGCACCTAGATTACAAAAGATTGGTGGCGACTCCCTTAAGTCAATGTCTAGCGATGGATCCCCAGATCTAGACGTTATGGCATAAATCATTTATAACTTAGTAGTAAACTATAACTTAGTAATAAATTGATGATAATTTAGTAATAAATCAGTGATAAGATAGTAATATGTAATTGATAACTTATTTATTACTTAGTGATAAAATTTTTTTTATACTTGAAGTTACCAATGATTGAACCTTAGTTACTAGAAAGAGCAAAGCTAGAACTTTCATCATTAGGAACTACAATAAACCTACCATGAACCTATTCATTAAAAAAAATTAGTAAAAAAATTCTAAATTTGAATGAAACAATAATGTTATTATATAAAAAGAAAATTATCTTATATATTGTAATTTATTGATAAATTAATAGTAAATCATAAATAACTTAGTAGTAATTGAATTGATAATTTAATAGTATATAATTGATAATTTAATAGCTATTTATTAAAAAGTTAGTAATAGATCTATGATAATTACTAAATGCATAATAATATAGTAGTAAATTATTAAATTTAGTAGTAAATCACTAATAACATACTAATAAATCACTTATAATTTAGTTGTATATCAATGATAATTTAGTAGTAAATTAGTTAATCATTGATAATTTTATAGTAAAATCATTTATAACTTCATAAAAATAAGTATAACTTTATAATAAATTATCAATAATTTAGTAGTAAATCATTCTTAACTTAATAGTAAATCATTGATAATTTAATAATAAATCGTTGATAACATAATAACAAATCAGTCATAACTTAGTTGTTAATCGGTGATCAATTTTTTTATACTTAAAGTTTTTAATGATTAAACTCTGGTTACTAGCAAGAGTGAAGTCAAAACTTAGTAATGAATTAGTTATAATAATAAATCAGTGTTAACTTAAGCGTAATTTATTGATAATTTAATGATAAATTGATTATAATTTAGTTGCAAATCAGTGATAACTATAAATTAATGATAACTTATAATAAATCAATTTTAGCTTAGTAGTAAAGTATGGATAACTTAATAATAAATTATTCATATTTTAATAATAAATTAGTGATTAACTTAGTAGTAAATAATTGATAATATATAGTAGTAAATCATTGCTAACTTAGTTTTTTTTTTTTTTTGTTTTGGTTGAATATTGATATAGAGCTATATTTTTTTAATATGTGTAACATATTTGATTCATTTAAAAAATTATATTTATTGCCATTTAATACTAAGGTATTGAATTACAAATATTTGTGGATATTGTACACATATATAAATAATTAAAACAATATTCATGTACCAATTACTACAACAACATAATTTTATTGAAAAGAAAATCAATTTTTGAAGTGAAAATTTGGAATGATTTTATCTAAATTTGCATGTCATTGATTGTCTACTTGATAATAAATTAATAGTAACTAGATTAATGCGATATCTTTACTAAAAATAAATTGTTGTGTTATGTGGTAGCCTTTATAACACTAACAACAATTATACAAAAAATTATTATCTTTAAAGATATTTTTAAAATGAATGAAAGAAATAATGAGTCAAAACTTATTAGACAACACCATAGAAAAATTACCTATAAGTTATTTTCTCAAGTACGTAATATTTTAAATTAAAATATACGATTTAATAATACTAATAATAGTATGAATTCTATAAATTATAATTTTTTAACAATATCGGTTAAATGATTAATTTTTTGTATGACTTATTCTAGATATATAATTAATTGTTTGTCAAATAAAGAAATTACTCCATTTTAATTAAAAAAGAGTTCAAATATTAAAAAATATATTCATTATCAATTTTAAAGTCTAAGATTTAAAACATAATTTACCTTCAAAATATAATAATATCTTTTGATATTTATCTAAAATAGGTCATATCTTATTAATTTTAGAATTATTATATTTCATTATTTAACAAACAATAATAATGTTGAACGAAAGTTAATTGAGAAAAGTATTTCAATATTTAAATAATAACAAAAAAAAATATTTGATTATGATAAGATATACCTTTAAGTAAAGTGCGTTATTTAAACTTTTATTATAACATATTTTAGTAAGTTATGCATATTTAGTAACTTTTTAAGAAATCAACATTTGATATTAAAAGTAGTTTTAGTCAATAGCCCTTGTAAATACATAAATAAACATTATTGATAATTACATTAAGATATTAATTGTTCTTGACTGCTTCAAATCCTTTTTTTTAGAATATGTTTATAAATTAATATTTTTTTAATTAGTAAAATTCATGTATATATGCATTTTTTACTATAAAATGGAACTACAAAATGATATATTACATAAATAAGTACATACGAAAAAACAGAAGTGATCATGTAAAAGAAAACATTGTATATTTACTTTATTTCAAGCAACAAAAACTTTATAACAATATGGTTTCAAATAAAAATAAAGAATTTAAATTTTCAATAGCAAATAGATTAAATGTAAGAGTTTAAATAAGTTCAACAATAAACGATTTCCTCAAAAATTTATAAAATTAAAAATAACAATCCACTACCAAAAAAGTTAAAAGAAAAATCTCAAGAAAAAGCATAAAATATATAAAAAAGGGAAGTACAAAATCTGATTTGATTGTAATAGAAGACAATTTTTTTGAAAAAATTTAAAAAGAAAAATATATATATAAAAAAATGAATGAAGACATTGACCTAAAGCCAAAAGATTTAAAAGAAAACTTCTTAAAAAAAGTCAAAATAGAGAAAGATTAAATATTTATTCTTCATTGGAATTTTAATTTAAAATTTTTGTTATATTTTTTTTTCAAACTTAAATTTATATTTTCAATTTAATTTAGTATGATGATAATTATTTCAATTTTATTATTAAAAAATATTAACATTATTTTATTATATTAGAATTATAATTTGGTTAACAACTACTTGCATAGCACATGAAAGAAAACTGGTTATATAAAATATTCATTTTTTTTTTTTTTATGTTTTACATAAAAGTTGCATTTCACAATTTTTTTCGATATAAAAAATATGAAATATATTTTTTTTTTGTTTTTGTTAAAACTATATATGATTTTTTGCTAAATTTTTTAACCTTATCATCTTCATGTTTTTTTTTTATATATATATTATTTGAATATCGTGTATCAAATTGTTAATCTGAAAAACCTACATGAAATATCTAGGATTGGGTTGGCTGCTTTTGAGCTTATGCCCACTCTTCCAACGGTTAATTTCAAAGAGAAGAGTATTCTCGCAACAAGAGCCACAAAACGAATCTAAGAACTATAGCTTTCTCCTTCCATGCCAATTCTATCCAACAAATTCCTGACAAAACATAAAGAAAAACATATCCAAAATATATTATTTGTTCTAACTCTTGTCCTGCTTCGACATTCTCAATCTCCACTCTCTTTTTGATCTCTAAGATATCCACATCAAAGCTTAATTACTAATGTCTTATATATAAGAAGATAGCCAACATCAGACCACCTTTTATGACCACCTTGTAGGGCATTCTCCCCAATGCCATTGACAGGCTCCAGTTCATGTTTTGATGGAAAGGCAGACTGACCCACCTGTTCATTCATCCCTAGCCCTTTTTGTAAGAGCAGTTCAAACAGTTGGAGAGAGCAAAAGGAATGAGGCAGGAGAGAGAGGTTTTACGGCTGCTCACCGAAGCAGAGTGGATCAATCAAGTTAAAACATTTGGAGAGTAGTAGCAAAGATTACTGAGTCAAACAAGCTGAAACTAAAATCATGGAAGAAAACATAAATTACTGCAATCATACAAGATGTAAACACTTAGAATAGATGCTTACACATTTTATTAAATATAAATATAAACACATACATGAGTAACCTTCACCATGAGCAAAATATTTGATAGACTGCACTATGATAAAATGTAAAAACGTAACAGAAATGCTTAAACATGCTTTGCACTGACTAGGTCCTTCTTCCTCCACCATTACGATTGCCAATCTTTGACCTTTTTCGCCTCATATGATGTCGGTCTTCAACCAAAGCCACAATCCATTTTGGCTTACCAGTTTGAAAAACAAAATATCCCATTACCAATCCAAAGACAACTCCACATCCATAACCTGTCAACACTGCTTTCCAACCAAAAGCAATGTTCGATTTTGAGCCATCTTCTTCCAGCAAGTTCGAAGGTGGTAGCTCACTGTTGCCGCAACCTTTAGAGACTGGAAATCCACATAATCCCCTGTTTCCTTCATATGAATCATTTCCAAAAGTGTTGAATTGTTTGCCTTGAGGAATCTGACCTTGAAGATGATTTTCAGAAACATTAAAGATAGAAAGAGATGTCAGATCTAGCAATTTTTCTGGAATCGTCCCAACCAGCTTGTTTGAAGAAAGGTCCAGCCATTCAAGACTAATCAAATTCCCTATTGAAGTGGGGATACATCCACTAAGATTATTACGAGAAAGGTTAAGCCCTTTGAGTGAGTTAAGATTTCCAATAGCCTTCGGAATCTCTCCTTGAAACTTATTATTTGAAAGGTCAATGCTCGTTAACTTGATGAAAATTTTCACCACTTCCATCTTGACTCCTTTGATTGCAATTTCAATGGAATAGCTATAGAATGTACCAACAGTCCCATCTTTCACCCCCATGTATCGCGTTGCACTTTCATTTTCTGTGAGATTTATCATAGCTTTGAAATTTTTTAGATATCTCACAGGGAGTACTCCAGAAAAAGAATTGCTTGAGATGTCAAATATTTGGATTTTGGAAAAAGAAAGATTGGACCTATTGTCTTGTATAGAACCTTGCAGTTGATTTGATCGCAATACAAGAACTTGTAGCTCTGGAAGACTTCCCAACCAATGAGGAAATGTATCATTGATCCTGTTGTCACCAAGATCTAGCACTTCCAGACCTCTACAATTAAGGATGGATCGTGTTAAAGGTCCTTCCAATTGATTGCCATTTAAGTTGAGATTTTTCAATTGACATCCCTTTGTAAAAGTTGGAGGAATGATTCCATGAAATTTGTTCATCTGTAGATTCAACATCCGAAGGCTTTCGCTTAAATTTCCCAAACATTTGGGAATGATTCCACTCAAATTGTTGTGAGACAAGTCAAGAAATCTAAGAGAAGTCATATTGCAAATTAGAGATGAGACCTTTCCGCTCAAGCTATTATTGGAAAGGTCTAAATATAGCAAACTTTTTGAGCCTCTTAAGAATTGAGGGAATTTGCTGACATTGCAAGAAGGCAAAGACAAATATCGAAGATTAGGCAATGTATAAACAGCACTAGTGCCATTAGAGTTTAAGGATAGATGGCTCGAAGAAAGATCAAGCACCCCAAGATTTTGAAGTTTGGAGAACATGCTAAACTCTACAATACCACTTAGATTATTTGATGATAAAGAGAGATCAGCAAGGTTCACGAGTTGGGATAATGAAGATGGAATAGGACCTTGGAGTTTATTATTATCTAACATTATCACTTCCAGCGAGTTGTATTGGAATTCTTTGATATGACCACTGAATTGGTTATGAGAGAGATATATGTACTTTAAGGAGGAAATGGAGTACAACCATGATGGAAGCGTTCCACCGAGTAAGTTTGAACTCAGGCCTAGCGAGATTAGATTAGGAAAAGCATTTACCTCATCTGGAATGGAACCTTCGAGCATATTTTCAAAAATGGTGAAAAATTCAAGTTGTTTTAGGTTTGTGAGTGACGATGGAATTGATCCACTAAAAAAGTTCCTTGACAAGTACAAATAACTGAGTTGCGAGAGGTTCCCCAATGATATTGGAATTGATCCTGACAAGTTGCAATTTGAGAGTTCCAAATCCTTCAAGGAAATAAGGTTCCCAATTGAATTGGGCAATCCTCCTCCTGAGAAAAATGCGTTTGATACATCCAAACGCTCCAAAGATACTAAATTGCCAATCGATTCAAACAATTCTCTAGAGAAGGACATAGCTGATAGATCCAAAAGTTTGAGATGGCTGCTCCGATTGAATTGTGGAAGATTGAGACTGAGGTTTCCGTTGTCTCCTAAATTGAGCAACTTGAGGTTTGGCAGGTGAAAAACGTTCTCGGGGAATTTTCCTCCCAAACCACACATATAAAGACTAAGAGACCTTAAAGATGAGGATAGGTTTCTCAAGACATTAGGATTAATAGAAGACATGTCGGTTCCATCAAGAAAAAGATCTCTTACCTCTGTTAGGTTGTGAACAAGTCCTTCCAAAACATGTTGCTGAAGTGTTTGACCATAATTCCGAGAGAGATCAAGTGAAAGCAATTTTGACAAGTGGGAGACTTGGGATGAGACTTGTCCTGCAAAGTTTGATCCAGAGAGGTTGAGATACATTAGACTTGCAAACCCACCAAACTTAGATGACATCTTGGAAGAGTTAAAATCGTTGAAGGCAAGGTTGAGCTTCTGAAGGTGTGGGAGATGGAAGAGACTACTATTGGAAGGGATGGTGCCATATAGCCAACTGCAATTCAAGTCAAGGCCAATCACTCGACCTTTTATATTATCACAAGTCACTCCATCCCATGAGCAGCAATCCGTATCTTCCTTCCATGAATCTGTCTTAGGATAAGATTTATTACCAAAATTGTCACAGTCTGCAGAAGAAGTTTTATCAATGGCAAAAGAGTGCTTGAATTGGATCAGTTTAACAGCTTCATCGTGAGAGCAAAGCTGAGTTGTTGGAGAAAAAGAAGAATAGGATGACAGATTAGCTTGAAAAAACAGGAAGAGCAAGATAAGGTAGAGGAATTGATAAGCTCGGAGTAACCACCACATCTTTTTTAAGCAAGAGAAATTGAAGATTAATGGTATGAGATATGATTGTTTTGAACAAGTTTATATAGACTGCACTGCGGGGCCAAAATATAGAGAGTATTGCTTTATCCTCCCCAGGGAAGCCAATTTGCAGAATGAGAGCAACGTCCATTATTGAAAAGATTAGAGTGCGACCTAAGGGAAAATAGGGAGATAGGATCCACCACTTCACATCAGTGCATTAGACTTCAACACAGATTAGTTCACCCAATCTGATCTGCAACATTTTTTACAGCTTATGGTTTTTGCTACCATTAGATTTGTATATATGCTGATTCCACTTGTTGAATTATATTAAGTGTCTCTAGTTGATTAATGCTGTAAATGATTCTGATTAATTTATTAGGAATTGTTGCTTTCGGGGAATTGTGGGTCAATTTTCCTTTTTCTCTCTTTTAACTAGAAAAATTGTTTCATTTCAAAAGACTAGAACACAAAAAATTTTGTCCTTCATTGTGCATCTGTGAATGTAAAACATTGAATTTAATCCTTATCTAAGTCTCTGTTACTTGGTTTGACGGATATTGATGACCAACGAAATTAAAATGTGATTGACAAGATGAGCTTTCCATCTTTACTTTAAAGAGTGTTGCTCCCCACCATTATCAGTCATTCACCTATTACTAAAGTTAATAAAGAGGTGGGATCCTACGAGAAGAAAACAAGAGCATTTCCTCCAATAATGCAAATCAGTATAGTTGCACTGTGCATGGGAAACTTCTCTGCAATATCTTACCAAGTAAACCTGTAAATACAGAAGCATACTGAAAATAAACATATTTTCTACAAGATTATGTAAAAATTAATGTTTTGCGTGAAATTAAATGGGTGTCATTTTAAATCAATTCTTTTTAAACTACCTATGATCATAGAATAATGAAATGAATGTCCCAGAAAATCAAGCCTGGTTCACTTTTGCAATTTAATTCGAGCCAGACTCCACTTGCATGGTGTAGTTAACAGCACATTAAGCTCTTTCCTTTCAGCAATTTTTTGCCCAAAAAGGTTTATGTGAGAAAACAAAACTGTTTTTACATAAGAAAGAATTGTAACAAATACATAAATATTGGCTAAAACACTAAATAGTCCTATTGTGTTGTCCGCTTTTCAAAGTTTCTATTGCTTTGATTTTCTACATTAGGAGTTGCCTTCCCCTGCTGTAAATTTTGTCCCAGTAAAGGAAAGGATAATTTAGTTGGGGAAGCTCTGAAAAAAACCTAGTAATTTGCACTTTAATAATTTAAATTTATATCGTCTTCAAGGAATATAACTAATCCTTTTTATTTTTTACTCTCTTTTCCTACTGTCAAATTCTTGTTTTTCAATCCTGAAATGATCCCAAGGCAGCTCTGAAAAGAGTTTACTCTATTCTCAAACATGAGATGAGCAAGAAGACCAAAATAGTGGAATTAGCTTTTTTGCACCGTCAATTACGCTTACCAAAAGCAAATAGGGACATGGGATCCACCATATTCAATTCAAGACAAGTTTTAGTTTGCCAAATATCTCTAACATTTAACTGTTTAATGTTTCGTTACCATTAGAATTATCGATCCACTAAAGTAAATTAACATATATGCGCTGTGCACTGGGAAACTTCTCTGGAATATCTGGCCAAGTAACTTGTAAATGCAGGAGCATTGAATTGGTTATTAAGATGGGATCCACTAAGAGGAAAATTTGGGCATTTTGATCCGATCAATACGTCATATGTTTTGTCTCATTAATTCAAAGATGTAGTCTACATTGGAAATTAATCTTTCTTTGAAATGAAAAAAAAAAAAGAAAGTGAAAGAAAGAGTATTACGGCTAATATAGGAAACTGGGGAAAGAAAAATATGCAAAAGAATTATTTTCATTTTCTTCATAAAATTGATTGACATTGCCTTTAACTTTATCTATGTAATTATACAATTTTTAATCTATAAGAGCACAAATTTAGTTTTTTTTTTTCTAGTTTTACCAGTAATATCTAATTGAGTTAGTTTTTATTTATTGTCAATGAAATTTAATTTTACAAATAAAATTAAGAGATTGATATATATTTAATTTTTAATTAGTTTTTTTTAATTTTTTTAATATATATGCGTCACCTTATTAACACCGTTTATAGAATTTAAAATCTCTACTGTCAATGAGATAATTTCTCAAATTTTATATATAGAATTATGTAATCTTCAATCTATAACGTGCTTGCACGTAAACATTGTTGAATTCTCCACAAAAAGTACAAAATTTACAGTATTGACTACGTTTATTCGAGAAATGATGAGATGAAAAAGAAGACTTGAATGCTAAAGCTAGCTATTTTTTGCACCATCAATTGAGCTAACTAAAAGCGAATATGAACATGGATACGACCAATTGCAGAACCCCAAAGTCATATCAGTGAATTCAAGACAACTATTCAACTATTCAACTATTCAACTTCATTGTTTGTTTGTTTTCATACCTCAATAGTACATATCCAAGTCTTTTCCAGCTGCCTGCCTTATCATCTACGGGAAGCCAACTTGCAAATCAGAGGGACGTTCGTTGGCACCTAAAGGCAAAATGGGAGAAGGGATCCACCAATTGTAGCACTCCAACTTCACATCAGTGCATTCGACTTCAAGACAGATTAGTTCACTTAATTTGATCTATAACATTTTCCACAGTGAATTGTGCATACGCAGATTTTATTTGTTGAATTATATAGGTGTCTCAAGTTGATTAATGCTGTTAATGATTCTGATAAACTTATTGGGAATTGTTGCTTTTGGGGAAATTGTGGGTCTATGTTCTTTTTTTCTCTTTTAACTAGAAAAATTATCTAAGTTCAAAACATAAGAACAAAACAAATTTAGTCCTTCAGTGTGCATCAATGAATGTAAATCATTGAATTTAATCCTTTTCTAAGTTTGCTGGTTTTGTGCCCGGGTTTTGTCCCCGTATGGAAAAGATGAGCTTTCCGTCTTTCCTTTAATGAGTGTTGCTCCCCACCATTATCAATCATTCACCTATCAACTAAAGTCAATAAAGAGGTGGGATCCAACGAGAAGAAAACAAGAGCATTTCCTCCAATAATGCAAATCAATATAGTTGCACTGTGCATGGGAAACTTCTCTGCAATATCTTGCCAAGTAAACCTGTAAATACAGAAGCATACTGAAAAGAACCTTCACATTTTCCACATGACTATGGAAAATGTTTTGCTTGAAATTAAATTGGTGTGATTTCAATTATTTCCATTTAAACTAAAGCGAAGCTGCATTTTTCTACCACATGTTTAAATTCAGAACAGAATAAGGAAAAAAAAAAAAAAAAAAACTCTTATCACATAGGAAATTCTGAGGCAAAGACTTGGTTGGTAACAGAATTATCTCTATGTTGACCAAGAAGACCTGAATGCTGGAACCAGCTTCTTTGAACCATTAATTAATTAATTAAGCTATCTAAAACCAAATGGGAACATGGGATTTACTGATTGCAGAACCCCAACTTCATTCATATCAGGGCATTGATTCAAGACTAAATAGTTTACTCAATTACTATAATATTTGGTGATTTCACTTCTTGAAGTATTTACTACGATTTGGATAAATGAAGAAGAAATGACTTGGAATTTATTACCTTAGTTTGGACTTGACTCCACAGTGTGCACGCACCGAAACATCGCAGAATTCCATACAAAATGTACAATTTGCACTATTGACTACGACCATTGCAGAAAAAGATGAGATGAGCAACAAAATCAGAATGCTGGAACTACTATCTTTGCACCGTCAATTATGGTACCTAAAAGAAAATAGGGAGATGGGATCCACCAATTGCAGCACTCCAACTTCTCATCAGTGCATTAGACTTCAACACAGATTAGTTCACACAATCTGATCTGTAACAATTTTTACAGCTTAAAGTTTTTGTTACCATTAGAATTGTGTATATGCTAATTTCACTTGTTTAATTATACAATTGTCTCAAGTTGATTAATGCTGTAAATGATTCTGATAAATTCATTGGGAATTGTTTCTTTTGGGGTAACATCATCATTGCTTTTATATTGCCCATTGAGGATGAAACATTCCACTTCTTAAGGTATAAGCGTGTCTCACATTAATGATGTAAACGATTATTATAAACATTGTGAGAATTGTTGCTTTTGGAGAAGTTATCGGTCTATATTCCTATTTTTCTCTTTTAACAAGAGAAAAATGATCTCAATTCAAAAGACTAGAACAAAAAGATTTAGTGCCTAAGCATGCATCATATGTAAAAGCTATTGGTGATTAGTAGAAAGGAATGAGGAAAGTTCAAAGTTTCAAAGTAACCAACACTTTAAAAAGAGATATTTGTTGATTCGGAGAAAGAGATTCAAACCCAAACCCAATTCTTATTGAGCTAAATACTCGAGTGCATGATATTTTCTTATTTAACTTTCTCAAATGTCATCTTGTATATGTTGAATTCAATTCATCATTTTTCAGTAACAAATGTTCCTTCAAAAAATTCTTTTAATTTTATTTTTTCATGATAACCATTATTGCTATATTGTGAAAAACTATGCAATATTTTAACCTATATAGAATCACGAAAATCACATATTTAGAATCATATATAAAGTTTTGTTTCCTGGTTTTGTCCCCGTATGGACAAGATGAGCTTTCCATCTTTACTTTAATGAGTGTTGCTCCCCACCATTATCAATCATTCTCCTATTACCTAAAGTCAATAAAGAGGTGGGATCTAACGAGGAGAAAACAAAAGCATTTCCTCCAATAATCAAATCAATATTGTTGCACTGCGCATGGGAAACTTCTCTGCAATATCTTACCAAGTAAACTTGTAAATACAGAAGCATACTAAAAATAATCATATTTTCCACAAGATTATGGAAAAATTAATGTTTTGCTTGAAATTAAATGGGTGTCATTTTAAATCAATTCTTTTTAAACTACTAATGATCGTAGAATAATGAAATGAATGTCCTAGAAAATCAAGCCTAGTTCTCTTTTGCAATTTAATTCGAACCCGACTCCACTTGTATGGTGTAGTTAACAACACATTTGTTGGGCATGAAGCAATAAACACAACAATGCAGAAGCAATATATCGCAATAACCCACAGTAATAGACAACAATCAACAATTAACAATGCAGGAAAGATAAAGCATATCAAGATTTACATGGAAAACACTCTAGTGTAGAGGAAAAAATCACGGATCACCAAAAAAATCTCCACTATCAAATAATGGATATACAAAGTTCTTCTCTAGCTAAAACTAGAGATAATCAACAACTAGAGAGACAATTAGAGAAATCTCACCAAATAGGTGATAGTGGTAATGGTTTTGGGACTGCTAGACATAAAGAATTTTAAAATAAAAAAAATGGAGAGTCATCATCAATATTTTTTGAAGGTGTGATTGGCCACCCAAAAGTTTATCTTTTTAATAAAACTATAAAAATGGGTTTAAAGTTTATCAAAAAGATATATTTTGGTCTACGAAAATCAGGTTGGGTCCAGGAGTCGATTATGTGTGGGGAAGGATTAGCACCCCCACAACACCCATAAATTGGTATCATTTAATCAT